TACAGGTGACTTTGCCATAAATTTCGGGGAGGTTAGGGTCCAATTTAGGAGACGAGACTGGACAAGGCGGCGTTCTGTGGAAAGTTTCATCTTGATCATTCAGGGATTTTTGCTTAAACTGGCGAAACTTCGGCTTTTCCGAATTAACTAAAATACTCCATCAACAGTAAGATGTCTTCCAATAGTAACACGTATCAGACGGTTTTGCGACTAGAGGGCATGCGATGACCATCTTTCAACGATGCATCAATTGAGGGCCTGTAGTAGTCATCGCCACTAGTACGCGCCCACGTGGTCCTTGTGGTTGATTCACCGATCCCTTGTTTACTCGGGAGGGTTTCTGGGCGTTCGTTCGATGATCGGTGTCCACTGGGTGAGGCAGTACCGCGGTCGAGTTGAATCTGTTTGTCACGACCGAGGCAGACTGAGTAATCACTGCGTATCCTTCCTTCAGAGCATCCAGTCATCCAATCAACGCTGTCTGCTCAACGGAAGCAGGTGAAGGCGCAGGTACGCACTGGTGGGGCCTGTGAGGGAATCACCTCAAATTTACTCGGAAGGCGCACATGCAGTGTAATCTAATCTTAACCACGACTCAACTTTCCGCCTCCTGGGATCCATTGGATCTCTACAATCGTCTTATTTCTCCAACCAAATATTTTCCCACCACACAGTTCTGAATATATAGGAGTTAGAAACCCATATCGGATCCTTTTTAGGGCAAATGAGGGCACATAAGTCTTCTGCGGGGGGAATTTATTTAAAGCTAAGACGCCAGATGCGGACATCTGCATTGTACCTCCACTCCTTAGGTAGGTTTAAATTATCTGGCCTGAGATTCGATCTCATGATCACCAACCAGCGTTGAGTACGGCCTCACCCCTGGGAGTTTGCAGTGCACCAGTTACAGTGGAGTATTTTCCCAAATAGATGACGGTAAGATGATAGTTGGTAGCCGTTCCCACAGACTCCACAATGGTACCTACTGGATCGATTTCAGTAGCTGTGATTGCGTTCTCATTATGCTTCTAAATTCACGCGCACGCTCCATTACCTGTATATGATTCATTTTAGTGGTACTATCCTGGGAAGATTTGCACCGGTAACGATGGCAATGAGGCTTACCCTATGTCAAATTTCATTAGAATAGGGAGTTGGCAACCGTGCCCACATAATCCACAATTATACCTACTGGCTTGATTTCAGTAGCTATGATTACGTTCTCATTATGCTTCTAAATTTGCATGCGTGCTGTATTACCTGTTCCAGATTCATTGTGGAGGTACTATCCTGGGCACCGGTAACGGTGCCAATGAGGCTTTCCCTACATCAACTTTCATAAGAAGAGGTAGCTCTTGACTGCCTCATTCATTGTAGAGATACTATCTTGGGCGGATTGGCACCGGTAACGATGCTAATGAGGCTAACCCTTTATCAACTTTCATTAGCAGAGGTAGCTTTCGACTGCCTCGTTATCTGCGGATTTTCTCTTCCGCCCAAACCAATTTTTCGCATAAAAGTCTTACCCAACTTGCGTTGTGGCGTTCCGCGTGCCGCTGCTCGACTCTCGTGTCCTTCTGTCCATTTTATTGGATGGAGTTCTATCGCTTACACTGCAGAATGACCTTTGGACCAGTTGCCTTGTTCGCACTGGTTGTTCGCATTCACTTGCTTTTCATTCCAATCTGAGGCTAGGATGCATTTATTCCACACACCCTTCAAAGTCACCTTGCTCATTTCCATACCTTCCTTGTATTTTTCACCTAATCTAAATTAGGCTTCCACTTTACCAGGAGCACCAATTCCTAGCATATGCTACAATCGCCAATTACCCGTCCACTCAATTGTCCCACCCGTATAGCCCCTATTACCACCGGTCCCGATTGACAGACAGCTATGAGTTTGCGGTGTCAGGAGGGCTACCAACTATCATCTAACCTAAATGACAAATTCAATGGCTTCGCATGTCGCGTCAAAATTTTACGGATGATCGCCTGATCGGCAAAACAGTAGGGCAGCCCAGGACAGTGACCCACCTGGAGTCGACAACTGGTCAGGTGTTGACAGCATAAGTGAGCATACAAGTATTGTCTGGGATGTCTGTGTGACTTCTAGTAAGCCCACGCCTATGTCATTTGCAGTGCACGGCTCCAAGTAAGCGCCTCCCGAGGTTACCGGCAAATATTTACAACCTATTCCCTCATGAATTAGACTAAGGGCTAGTTCGAGTGAGTTCGTCCTTTACCGAATATTTTAACAGGAGTGCGTGTTAGCCGGCGTCTCATCCAGGTGCCTCGTTTATCCATTTTCGAAGACGTGGACTTGTCTGCTATGGTTACTTTACAGTAATTGAGTTTGGTCATCCCTCTCGTCGGGCAGTTTTCACTTGCAGCTGACTATGCTGGATGCCACGTGCGTTCAGTACACAGTCTGTGGTAATGACTCCGGCACACCCCTGGACTTGGGTTCAGCCTACGAATGTTGAATCTGTATGGGTCGTAGTCGACAGTCATTCCCTCTGATGTCGACGATTGTGGTTAACGAGGCCTTCCAGACCGCCTCGAGCTTGATCCACTTGGTCTAACTACGGCTGCAATAGTTGGTACGCCCAAAAGAGCTCGGCAGGCATATCGATTTCTTATGCACATTGGGATGTCCGAAAGGTCGCCTATCCTGAACTCCGAAGTTACGAGGGGCGAGGGGCCGCTCAGTGCGTGTGCGCATTAGCGGGGTCCTGTAGACGTTTCAGGAGTTCACTAACCGAGTCTCTTTAAAACGACATTTTAAGAAATGGTGTTATGTTCTTCCCTTAACGCCTTAAAACTGGTAGCCTGTTATACAACTCTCCGCAGTCGAATCCCCAAATGAAAACTCAAAAGCAGGGGTGGGAGAAAAAAGTCTATTGCTGAGTCCTAACAGCGGCGATAAAAGGCACACAAATGTCCAAGGCCGGCCTAGAATTGAGCCAATCAGGTCATGCCCTTGAGTTGTTCGCATGTCGACTGGACTTCTGACTCATCTGAGTGGCTGGGCTCTCCTCCAATCTTGCCGGTGGCTGGCACGATATCAACACGGTAGGCCGGTATGCGTGCGCGTCGTTAGTGTGGCGTGCGAACGAGTCGGTTATGACGCCGCCTCCTAACGCCCCTTATTGTCCGGCGTTATTTACTGCAGCCTTTAACTTCCTGAGTGTATTCCAGACACCTCGTCTCTCTAGTCAGTCCTATAACCGTGACAGGTCCACAGTGTAGGGTAGGGTCCCTCTTATTACCTCAGGCCCGCCATGTTTGGCCAGTGGACAGTGCCTGCTGCAAGAGGTCAAGGGGCTGCCTCGAAAAGCCCTTGGGGCGCGGTCTGTGACTCTCCAGGTTTTGGGCCATTCCTCCTTTAAAGCCTGAAGTGCTCGAAGAAGTCACGGAGGCATTCAATCGTCCTGGGAAGGTACTGCTGTTCAGTCTTCTCCTTAACCGCCGTGCGGTGACGCTCGTCAGCCCGCTAAAAGCATCGGACTTTAATAGTCGCTTTTGTTAGAACGGATCTGGCTCCGCTGAAAACGCAGTTTCCGTAATTTTAACTTGTCTAGAAGAAGTAAAATGGGCAATATTAGGTCCTGTAGCCCCCACTTGATTCATACCATATGGTTAGCTTCCTAAAACAATTTTAGTAGGCGTGATTATGCTGACTTAACGTATATCACGTATTTGCGCCTTCCTTACTATTTTAATTCAGCGAGTGACTGCCTCGAGAGAGCGCTTATACGCCAGCCTTGGTTACGTCAGGTATCAGTCCACACGCTCTTCCCTGAGCGTGTTTCGAGCTCTACCGGCACCCTCTTTATTATCTTAGTCCAGCGATTGGTTAATCCAGGTTGCTAATGCCACCGTTCGGACGGCTTAAAACTCCGCCTGTTTCACCTTAGTGACCATGCACTGCGAATTATCATGCGGTTTCCTCCGCGGCCTTCCGGCTGTGATTGCGCCCTCCTTGTTCTCTTAATCCAGCAAGTGGCATTGTCGCGGAGGCAGCGTACACGCCACTTTCAGTTACACCCAGCACTGGTTCACACGCGCTTCCCTGCGCGTGATTCAAGCTTTTCTTGCGCTCTCTTTCCCTTCCTTATCCAGCGAGTGGCTAAGTTAGGTATAAAAGCGAAATTCTGAGCTCCAGGTGTATGCATAAGTGAAGGAGAAGAGTCGAACACCGGAAAACTTCGTTTATTGTCCTGAGCTTCCAGACTCGTACAGGAGTCCATCGTCAGAGATAGTAGCAGCAACAGGACAAGCGACAGTTATAAGGCATGTAGGCCAATCATCGACCGACGGCGCAAGACTGTAGGTGACTACACGGGGCTCTGTACGCGGGCGCTAGATCGGTAAATCGATTGACTGTGTTCTCATCCGAGGCCAGGCTTCAATCATTTCTCGGCCTGTTTCGTTTCCGGCGTGAGCGACTATTTTGGTGGCTGCGAAGTTAGACTCATGACCCATTTCGTAGGTGTGGGCGGCCACTTGTGATAATGCGTCGCCTCGTCGCACAGCCAGCTTATGTTCGCGTATGCGCGATCCGAGCATGCGCCCAGTCTGTCCTGTGTAGTTACAAGAACAATTTTGACGCGGAATGCGATACACTACTCCAGATTGCTCTTCAGGCTTTAACCGGTCTTTAATTTTCATGAGCCTATTGCGCATGGTGACCTTGGGGCGATGTGCAATTCCAATACCCATCTCCGCAGCAATGCGCTTGGTCGCTTCTGAAGCGTCCTTGATGTATGGCAGAGAATGCCATATCGTTGGTGGTATGGATGTTCGAGTCCTCTGGTGGCGACCGCGTAGGCAGCGACTTATGAAGGCCCTCGAATAGCCATTTTGCACATACTGGTTGCGGAGATGATGGGCCTCACGTGCTCTGTCCTCCGGTTTGCTGCAACGAGTTTGGGTCCGTTTGAAGAGCGTCTTCACACAGCTTCGTTTGTGAGCCACCGGATGGTTGCTGTGAAAACTGAGAAGCCTCCCTATAAACCGTCGTTCGAAGTTCACCGTTAAGGTTTCGTCTGACAAGCACATCCAGGAAGGGTACTGCTGTTCCTGTTCTTTTTCCCTCGTGAATTTTATATCAGGGAAGACTGCGTTGAGCAGACTGTGGAAATGTTGCAGCATGTCCTTCTTTACGATGACGAACGTGTAGTTTACGTAACGGCGCCAAAATACCGGCTCATGTTGGACGAAGGCAATCTTTTCTAGCTCCTGTTGGACCAGTTCTGCCACCAAACCGGAGACCGGTGAGCCCATTGGGGTTCCCTTGATTTGCTCATAGGTTTCTTCCGCAAAAGGGCAGAAAGTTTGTTGGCAGAATTCAAACAGCCTCATGAGGTGTTCAATTTTGAGTGTATTCTGACGCTCATCGGTCAATCGATTTATCGATCTGGCGCCGGGGTACAGAGCTCTGCGTAGTCACTTCCAGTCTTGCTCCGTCAGTCGATGATTGGCCTACATGCCTTATAACTGTCTCTTCTTCTGCTGCTGCAACTACCTCTGACGACGGACTCCTGCACGAGTCTGAAAGCTCAGGACAATAAACGAAGTGTTTCGGCACTCGACTCTTCTTCTTCCCCTAAGTTAGGTATGGTAACTAAAAGTGTTTTGGTAAGCTAACCATATGGTACCAATCAAGTGGGACCGCAGGACCAAATCTCACATTAATATGTAACAGACCACTTGTGCAGATATGGTGTGCAGAGAAAGACCTTCTCACTCTCACCATCTTCTTCGCGGAGGGAATGTTGGTGTCAGTCATGTCCAGGAATGGAGACCGCCGGCTCGTAGCTGGCAAAACCCTCTGTGGCGAGCGCAGTCATTCATGGAAGGATTACTCGCGTAGGTTATGGTGCTGAGACTTCCTTTAACGTTGTCGAAAGGACGTTTTTATTCATTGTCAAGGCACCATCTAGGAAGTACTTGTTGATTTGATTACTAGTTCATTTTATGCCGATTTTCAAACCAACAAAGGCCGATTTGACCTGCAGGCAGCATAACCTTGACACCATCTACGTTTCGATAGTAGTTAGATCTTTAATGTTTCCTAATCGCGACGATCAATCAGCGCTGTAAAGTCGGGAAGCTGCCAACTTGCCTCAACCTGTTCCCTGATCATTCTGTACAGAATACAGTGCTCTAACAACTGGCGTCTAACCTCTCTTCTTCCTGTTCAGGACCTGGCCTATGAGTAGTAATGGCTGAGGTCCGCTCACGACTTAAGCTGTTGAGAAAGTTCTAGACGCCTAGGCCAGGTTTTCTCAAGAAAATTCGCATCCAGAGCGTTGCATTCAATTTGCTGCCAAATTTTAGAGTTCATAAAGTCATTTAATTATGTTCAAAGGGACTGATAATTATTAAGCCCTTATGGTTGTACCGTAGGGTATTACTTCATACTACTTTTAGTCGAATACATGTGATGTAATGGCTGTCTGTTTATGAAGCCGGAAGTTTCTTCCTCTCGGTATGAAAACTGAGAGATTGCTTTGTGCCTCAGTTTCAAAACAAACTGTAGAATGCACACCGGTCTAATCTTTGACGCAGACGATCAAGGTCCGCAGGCCGTATACGCCAGTTAGATAAGAAGAACAACTTATCCGAGAGGAAATGACTCCAGTTGATTAGTTTATCAAGGTTGTCTAAGGTTGTATGAGCGTTTAAGCACATTAAAACAAAACACTTTTTGTTTCACTACAAACGACTACGGACGCCCGTCATCAGAGACTAGTTCGGCATGTTACCTGCGTTCTAAGGTTTTCGCCGGATTGCCTGTCGTGCCCAATGCCTGCGCCGATGCCCATTGTCTGTTGGTTGTTGAGGCCTTGTCAAGATACGATGGTCGATGGCCCTGCCGTCTCAGCCGTTAATGTTATTCGCCCGGCTGCGATTAATCAATGAAGACAAAAATATTGATCATCGGCTAAGATTGAGTCACACGCGTGTACGCAATGCCTGACTAGTCTGATAGGTTGATCAAGGGCGGCGCTGGCAACTGTGAGGGCGAACAGCTACAGCCTCATCTGAGGTCCCACGAAGCTGTACGGCATGCAGCGGCAAAACGCAGATAAGCGCCTTGAATGTCGTGGCAAAGCAAATGAATTGCACTGTTATTTTCCCTCTATATGTCTAGTGGCAGATCACGGGCCATAAGAAAACTCGTACAACAAAAATAGGGGTATGGCACGGAGATGGGCACCCCTGCGTATTACAGGTGGTCTTGTGCCAGTTCTAAGGGAGATAAGGGTGAGGTTTATGGTTGTATTTAGGTTTAGGGTTTAGCTTAGTCGTGATGAAGGAGACATGATCGCTGGGACAAGAGCTTTATTCGCCTAACGTTTCGGATTCCTGTTCGGACCCATCATCAGAGAAAAAAAGCAGATGCGGGTCTGCTTTTGTCTTTGATGATAGGTTCGAGCAGGAAAACGAAATGTCAGGCGAATAAAGCTCTTGTCCCAGCGATCGTGTCTCCCCCTTCACTACTGTTTCCTGGGACTCGTCTCTTTGCTTCTGCTTGGCTTAGTGTTGGAGTCAGTCAGGACGTGGAGATAGATATCCATCCCGGAATTTAACGCAAGACCATCTTTATTACCGGGGGAGGGAGGGATTCCTACTCCCGTGTCTTACCAAAGTATATGTGCTGCCAGATCGTTATCCGTCGGTTGTCTCCTCCGCATCCATGACGATTGCCCTTGAAAGACGAGCAAACATGACTCAGACTTCTTTGGGCTTCCGCCGTAAGTCAGAAGTCAAGGAACGCAGATGGATTGCACAGCCGGTAAACACGTGATTCATGACTCAACGGCAGAGCACGCGGCGAAGTCAGCAAGTCGGTGGTTCGACTCTGTCAGCCGATAAGTTTTCCTTTGGTGTTCAGTTAGAGGTAAACAAATCTGTTATGCCCTTCTGGTACCTTACAAATGCAGAAAGCGGTGCGTGCTGAGGCAGCCTATCCAGCCTCCGTGCACATGCTTCACCAGTCCACTGTTGCCTTTATCTTTATTGTAACCCACTTCACCGGAAATTCATCGTCCTCATCACTCAGCGACATCGGTTAAGTACTGTAGCGATGAATGAACAGCTGCACGACAAATGAGACAGTTCGAACGTCGCTGTCGATGATATCCACCGTGCGTTCCATAGCAGAGTGAGAGCAGGGACGGTAACTTGCGCGTGAATAAGTTTACAGGGCATGCAGACTTGCGCAGTGTCTACCGCACCCCCCCCCCCACCCCCTCCTCCACACCTGGACCCCGTGTCAAGACAGAGTAAAGAAGACCGGAGACAGGAGAGGCCGCAAGTAGCTGGCACGGCGAAAGTCCGCACCTAGGCGTACCACCGCACCCCCCGGTACACAGCGCGTACACTGATAAAGATTTTATGCCACAACGCAAATAGGGAGGGCGGCACGGATTCCAGTTGGCGCGGCGGGAACCGGAAACTGAGCCTGCCATCACATCTCGAGTGTTGGCATTTGTGATGGGTGCGCATTTCTGACAACGCCTTCCGGACTCTGATCTAGACTCGGTGTTGGTCCGGCGCATCTACCGCGTGGCCTATTTTAGGGTCGCGATAAATATGCAGACACACACACACACACACGGGCGGTTAAGACAGTAATGATACAGCAGGTGGCATTGAAATTTCGATCGCCTTGCAGCATAAATTATTTTAGTCACACCATGATGCCGACTTCCGAATGAGCATCTTCCCGGCTGCCTGCAGGCTCCTATGTTCCCTTTGCGCACATTTGCTTCTCCTGTCAAATGTATAATTCATATCCGTTTAGGCTCAGGTGTAAATAAGTTTATCGTCGAAATACGCAATATTTATCCTGGTGTGACTATTTTGGCGCCGTTAACTATGGATGGGGTGGGCGGAGAAGGGGTACGCTTTGATCATCTACGTTTCAGCGGATTCACAGACTTCCGACAAGTCCGATCCCAGCCTTGCATGTACGCCTGCAGTCCGTGCGGGCCGAATTATTCCGAGTTTTAGTGCTAGTTATACGTTAAAGTAACTGTTGGGCATGTCCAGCGGGGGAGGGGGGAATTCGAGTCTGCACTTTTCAGTCAAAGTGCTGGTAGATTGTAACTATCTGATGAGATTTTATGATGTTTCTGGACGTCGGAAGCGTTGTGCCCAGCTGTTGAGCTGCCGTAAATTCCGAGACATTTGAGCAACATCTTTAGGGTGTCCCTATGGCGTCGTCTTTGTTCTGGTCTTGGAGCACTTGTGGAAATATCACTACAGAATGCGCGTTCCACCAGATGGTCCATCTGTGCTCCAACACCAGTCCCGTAAAAAGACAATCCGTCTTTATTACGTGGCTGCCATCCCCTTAAATTGCTGACGATCTGGTGCGGGACAATGGTACAGTTAATAATAACGTTCTTGTATCATTACTTTTCTTAAAGTGTAGTGGTGCATATAGGTTTTTGTTGTAAATAGGACTAATATTCTTCAGTTGCTTTGGGCCTACCAGTAGCAAATAGACATTCGGAGATACGTTTATGCAGGTTGAGTATTTAGACAGATTGTTGACCCAGAACCTCACAATACGTTGGTAACGTCATGTGTGCCCTTTTACGAGGTCTCCACAAAAGAAAATTAAAAATTGAAAAATATCAGTCTACCCTAAAATACGCCAGTTTTTATTTTTTTACCTACGGAGCGCAAAATTCCTAATCTTCTGCCTTGTGCCCTCGATGATGACTTTGTTTAGTGTAAATCGGATCCGTCACTAGGCGACTTTTTGTAACGCAATCAGTATCTCGATTTCTCAATGTACTAAACTCCGTAATTTCACATTTTTTCGCGTATGAATGTCTCCTTCGGGCCAGTTTTTAAATCATTTGTACTCCATAATGTTTTTTTTTCAAAATTACTTGATTACCAGCAACGACTGCTTCAGTGGGTGCTGAATCACGCTTGCCCCCCGAGTTTACGACCTAATTATGGCCATTTTATGGCCCTTGATGTCTCCAACGAGGTTATTACCGATCTTCTGCTATGTTTATGTCACTACTGGCTTCACGAAAGCATCTACTGTGCGCTTATGCAAACGCGTCCTTCCCCTTACGTGTCACATTTCGTGTCACGCAAATGAATTTCCTCCCGGTAATGTTGCATGACGTACGTTGGTAGGTTCATCGGGTAATTGACGTGTGTACACAAGTTCCCGCGTCGGTTGCTACTCTTGTAAATGGCCCATTAAATCCTGCCGATAAAATACCTAATTCATACTAGTGTCCTCGAAATTGCAACTACGACTACCTCCGGCTCCTTTCACCTTGTAAGGTTAACAGTAATCAGAGTTGCCCTTTTTAATTTCCTCTGAAATGAATGTGCGAATTTGGAGTAAATCCTTGAGAGCGCAATTTTTAGGCTCGCTCTGAAAGTTGGTATGACTGTACGAGCCGAAATCCACCAGCTGCTGTGAAATAAACGCGTAGTATTAACAGGCTTTCAACAAGCATCCAGTAGTATACACATACGGAGTGATTTAGTATACTGGCAGTACAGATACTAGCTAAAAGCCCCGACAAGCGTGTTTCGTTAACGTTGTACCCGCTGCGATTGCAGAGTCGAGAGGTATGCACTTCTTTCTAGGTCAATTTTAGAGGTGGAGGTACAGTAGATGTGCTTACTCATGAAATGTCAACCAAAATTTCGAAATGCCTTCTCGTTTCGAAAAGATAAATTAAGTAGTGTTGTAAAAATAATCATGGTGCAGCATAAATCTATAATAATCCAGTTACCTCAGGGTGTCGGCTTTCGAATGAACTTATTTTCGGCTGCATGCAAGGTCTATACTCTGAAAAAAATGACTACTAAAGTAGTATGCGATTTTCTCAGTGATTTTCGATGCCCTTGAAAATTCAATTATATTTCATGGAAAACATGCATAAAATATTCATTTTTTTGCTTATTCGGTAGAAAATCACGTCTTCTTCCAATTTCATACTCAAAAGAGAGTATACTTCGGTTTTAACAAACGTTTCCTATTCCCGAATAATTTTGAACCCGACCTGCTGTTACACTTGCATTGAGGGTTTCAAAACTACAAGTTGCATATTTTTCGTGTACGGAAAACCATGCATTTCTCTACGGTGTTAAGAGGAGACCATATGAGGTTCATAAAATTAAGCAGTGAATTTGAGCAATATTGTTATCTTGACAAGCCGCATTCGTAAATGCAGATACATGACGTTCCATGAACGGCCATTTAACGGTATTAAAAAATCTCACGGTTAGAAACTTTTTTAACACCGAATTATACTCTTCTTTGAGTATGAAATTGGAAGAAGACGTGATTTTCTACCGAATAAGCAAAAAAATGAATATTTTATGCATGTTTTCCATGAAATATAATTGAATTTTCAAGGGCATCGAAAATCAATGAGAACATTGCATACTACTTTAGTAGTCATTTTTGCAGAGTATAGACCTTGCATGCAGCCAAAAATAAGTTCATTCGAAAGCCGACACCCTGAGGTAACTGCATCATTATAGATTTATGCTGCACCATGATTATTTTTACAACACTACTTAATTTATCTTTTCGAAACGAGAAGGCATTTCGAAATTTTGGTTGACATTTCATGAGTTAGCTCACCTACTGTATATGCCAGTTGATATCAGGATTGTCAGAATTTCAGGGGTTCTCAGACAATTCATTATGGGTTAACTTATAATTTTTCAAAACAGGAAGGAGGAGGAGAAGTCAGTTCCACTCGAAGCCGGTGCGACGTCCACGTGGGATCCCAGTACTGTGTCGCCGGTACTCACGAGCCCAGACCAGCAACCCTCTGTTACACCCATGAGCACAATGACAACAACAGCAACAACTTCGACACCCGTGGCCAAGAAGCCGCACCCCTCCAAGCGACAGGTCCGGCTGCGGAATCACTCCGCTCAGACACGATTGGCCGCCATCCCCACCACCCGTGCCTCTGTGCTGCTCCGAAGGGTGATTCTGGATCCCAAAATGGCGACATCCCTGAAGCCGGGAGTTGAGGGCAAACCGACTGCTGAGCCTGGAGCCGACATGGCAGCAATTCTGCCGTTGCTGAAACAGTGCAGTCGGTGTGGATCGCAGCGAGTTCGACTGCTGCTCATTGAGCGCTATCCTGAGCCTGGACCAGCTAACCAGACACCGGAGAGGCCGTCCTCTCGACCCCTCCTGCGGAGGCACGCAAAGCGTACGCTCTCGGGCGAGGTGCTGGAGATGCCGAGGCGGAGCGCGTCCACGAAACGGGAGAGTAGACGGTCGGCCCGATTTCACACTCAGCCTATTTGGTAGGCAGCGGGAAGTTGCCTCGTGAAATTTTGGTTTCTCACTTCATACGTGACATTCCAGATGGATGAGCCCAGTTAATCAATTATTATTTCCCTTCAAACGCTTAAGGCCTTTGCAGGGGGTCTGACTTTTGAGCCTCTTTGAGTCTACTGGGTACATTTGTAAATGTCGGCAGACCCTTAAGGCCTTTTTGCAAATGGGGCTTGCCTCTTATCCAGTTTTAGGGGTAAACTTTCATGGTTCACGAAATTTCACTGACGGATGATTTGCCTGGGCTGAATGGAGCATCTTATGTTCGGCACATGATAGATAAAAGTGGACGTTAACTTTGTGCATTGAAGCAACTAATGGAAACTCATTTTTCCGAATTAGAGCGCGAGTGCAGTCCGACCCATTGGACGAAAAGTTAACTCAGCCGAGCTTTCGGGTCGGCCTGGTAACCTCTCAAACTAGACAAAAAAAGAACAGAATGAAATAAGCACCGGAGAAGCACCGGAGACCGTAACCGTTATCGATCGGCCTGTCTGGCCCAGGCCACGCCCAATGACCAAAGACTCCGAGTGCGAACCGCAGGCCATTCGGACCTGGAGTTGGGTACGGCTGGCTGACGACGGCCAGTAAGCCAGAAGTTGCCATCCCTGCCTCCCCTGTCAGGTCTCAGGCCTCGGGTGGTCTCAACCCGTTACAGTAGGTGTGCTAACTCACGAAATGTCCACCGAAGTTCTGAAATGCATTTTCATTTCGAAAAGATCACCAAAGTACGGCTTTAAAATCAATTATTCTGAAGCATAATTCTATAATAATTCAGTTACCTTGGGATGCTGGCTTTCGAACGCATGCAAAAAGCACACTCTGCAAAAAATTACCACTTAATTACTATGCATTTTTTTCATTGATTTCGATGCCCTTCAAAATTAAATTGTATTTCAAGGAAGACATGCATAAGAATATGCATTCTATTGCTCTTTCGGTAAAAAATTACGTCTTCTTCCAATTTTATACTCGAAGGAAGGGTATGATTGTGTTTTCAAAAACTTTTCCAATTCCCGAATAATTTTGGACCCGACCTGCCGTTACAATTGCATTCAGGGTTTCCAAACTACAAGACGGGTATTTTAGCGTACGGAAAACCACACATTCCTCCATGGTATTAAGGGGAGACCATATGGGGTTCATACAATTTGGTAGTGGATTTGAAACATATTGTTGACTTTACATCTTACATTAATAAATGCAGAGACACGATGTTTTTTAAAAAAATCTTTTAAAAACAAACTTTTTGAAACCGAATTATACCCTTCCTTCGAGTATCAAATTGAAAGGAGACGTAATTTTTTACCGAATGAGCAAAATAACGACTACGTTTACGCATGTTTTCCATGAAATATAATTGAATTTTTAAGGACATCGAAAGTCAATGACAAAAAATTATGCTACTTAAGTAGTCATTTTTACAGAGTATGCTTTTTGCATGCCGCCGGAAAGATGTTCGTTCGATAGCCGGCATCCTGACGTAAGTGAATTATTATAAAATTATGCTGCACGTTGATTAATTTCAAAACCCTACTTAGGTAATCTTTTCGAAACGAAAACGCGTTTCAGAATTTCGGCTAACATTTCGCGAGTTAGCACACCTACTGTAGTGTTTGGGTTAGAGGTTGGAATTAGGGCTAGGGAGTTAAAGTAAAGAGTAGAAGTTCGGACTAAGAGTTCAAGGTGAGGCTACAGACATAGGTTTGGCGCCAGGGGTTGGATTGTTAAAGTGTTAAACCCCTGTGATATCTTCCGTTGCGGCAATCATGAGCGTCAGATTTAACCATGCATTCTTCGCTCTTTCTCCTTTAATGCGATTTATCGTCCGGTCTGGGATCAGTTGGCGCGGAATATCTACCCAGTGCCCTCGCCTTTCATTCTAACCATTCGTTTGCAGCTTTTAATTTCCCGTTTTTTTAATAGCGCCTTCGCGTTTTTACGATTTATTAATGTATTTAAACAGGCAGATGTCGTAATTGTGGTTTTTCACTTTTGCTTCCTGAAAACAGCTATCTGTCAGTTTCGTTTGACCAAACCCTATAGCCACTATTATCATCATTCCCGTATTGTGAGAGGCCTTGCCTACCGTTTTCTGGAGTGCGCTCCTTAACACAGACAACCGGTATCCCATTTGCATCACTAACCAAAGAGATGCGTCATAAGGAAGGCCTCTAAATTTCGAGGAGTACAGAAACAAACGCACTACAAACCGGCGACTTTGGGGCCAAAGTTCTAGTACAGCTGACAAAACTGTTTTCTCCACGTCTAATTGCCCGCTTTTCCGCAAATCAGTATACTTCTCCCCCCCCCTTTCAGAAGGGAGAGTGATGAGGTAATAAAGCGAGGCCATTAAATATAATTATCTCAACTGTTAGCACCTAGTGGGCGTCAAAGGTTGCACTTTGACCAGTGTATCCACACCCCCCGTGTTCATGCGGCGGTCGGCTTGGCGTGGCCGCAGCGGCCGAACTCACCTCGCCGGCTGACTGCTCACACTGCGTATGGCTGCCAGCCTGGCGACACCATGGCGCCGATCGATACCTTGCTGTTCAACGATTGGCCGCAGCTGAGGCGCACGCTCACACCTCAGAGGCTGGATCTCAGCCTGGTTGAACTATTGTTGCCGCTGGCTTCCAAGCTGCTTGTACTCCCGCAACAACGGCAAAGACTGTCCTACTATGTCTGTCGCCCTGACTTTCAATTTTAGAAAGTCCGCGTTGTTGACTGTTACACTTCGGCAAACAGACAGACAAGACGGTACAGCCTCTCATGCATAAACAAAATTTTGTAACTGGTTGCCAGCATCCAGTCTATATGAGGCCCCATAGTGGTTGGTGCCCTCGGTTTCACACTGCGAACGGATTTTTGACAAGGACGCAGAATGCGAACCCACTCGGGGCACAAAAACCAGACCATCGCGGCATATTGCGTCCTCGCCATTTCTGTAATTGACGATTTAATGCTCTCGCAGCTAGACAGAATTTACCTGAATGTGTACCTAGTGTCGCGTTCTCCCACCGTTCAGCTCCACTGATAAAACCCATACTACACGAAGACCTGGTTTTTGTTCCCGGAGTGGGTCCACATAATGCGTCCTTGCCTGATTTTTTTTATCACTAGAGGCAAAAGTGACGGAGGAGACGCGGCAGCATGGTTGCTTACCATCGGCGAGTTTTTTGATTCACCGTTAGAAAGTGTCAAACAAGCCTGTTGACGGGGAGGATGTTGTGTTTCATAAAATTCACTTGCGCTCAACTTAACGGGCAAGCTTCTAGTTGAGTCGTTACTGGGGGACAACGGGAGAAAGGCAGCAAATAGAACCCACCAGGTCAAAGATGGATTGTTATCGAACTGAAGCGTTGCCGGTCGGCGGTAGCGATTGTAAATGCATCCGGCGTGCGTAGAGGTGGGGACTGAAAAGCCCAACTGCGGAACTCATCGGCAGAATGAAACGGTCGATCATCCGTCTGTTCCTTCAAAGCAGCTGACTGCTGCCAATGTCCACTAGTCACTACCTTGACCCTGATGACGGTTTAGTCTTCGATGCCTGCACTGAACCCGCATTTTATTGTCCCATCTAGTCCACCAGCTGCACAGCACAATGTTGCTCAAGGGAATCGAGTCCAGGCGCCCGCAGACTCAAAGCGAAATAGCGCTGTCGAGGGCCAGGCAAAGTCCCAGAGGACAACCCTTTACGGCGGACAACCCTGCCTCTGCCACAGGGCTGCCTCCAGCATGGAATCCAAACAACAGCACACCTGTGACAGGGAGTTCTGGGACACACCGACAATAAGTTTGAGGCAGGCCAGACCACGAGACCAGGTGCCCGTCCGACCGCTTCTGCGGGGAGCCATGCAGTACCTGCAGACAGCCCATTCCGGACGCCCCTCCTCTGCAACTGGGACACTGTGCCAGCCCGACCCAGCGCAGGCTCACCCAAAGCAGCACTGGCGAGGTGGGAAAAAGACGTCGCAGAAGACGAGGAGTCGGGAGACCGCGCAAACTCACCACGAGGGTATGCAACTTTTCTTGCTAGTAAATGTTCACTTTTTTCTCTTGTCGAAGGTGGCAGTGGATTCAGACGAGGACCCAAAATTGGGTCGGGACGCCGAACGCCAATATCAGTATCCGTTGACAGGTGTCCCGATCACAGGCAGTTCCCGAGTCCTGGCTTTTGTGTGTAAATCGCGCTAAACAGTAGTCTTTCCTCAGCTAACCCCATTCTGGAGCTGGATCGAAGAGTCGCGCGACCCTAGGCAAGATTCGTGCATAGGGTTTACGATGCTGCCAGCCTTTTCATGCCAATTGGTAATCTCCGGAACGATCAGTTTTCTCGAACTTTTAGATTTTGTGCTCTAGTTGAGGGGTGAAAAAATCTTCTTCAGGCTTTCTGACCGACGTCAACCAAGTGGATTGGTGTAAGACCTACGCATTGTGCCTGGTTTCAGTTAGTTTAAGGTCAACAGACCCAGAATCTATGGTCTGTAATTGAGTGTATTCGTATTGCACAGAAATAGCATTCAGCAATCCGGCCTGTATGCCAAGAAAACTAGATCACCCAAACGGAGGCTGGGATACTGCGCAAAGTGTATGTATATTAGGGAGCCTACTCAACAGTAGCTAGTAGCAAAAGCGATTAAATTAAAAAGTCGCAATCTAGAGGACTTCGGTACAAATGCAAGTCAGCCACAAGGCAACTGCGCTTTCTCTCTACAGGATTGTATTTCGATTCCCCCAAAATATGCGCAGCCCACACCAGGCTTAAGAGTGTGTCAGCTTAGTTGGGAATACGAGAGCTTCATTTTCAGGTCGAATACAGACTTATAGTTCTAATTCACCGACATTCGCCTCCAAGTTACGTCTTCGAGGGGCTAAACTGGATGTTGCGGAATCACCTGGGCGTTTTCTCAGCTAGAGCACAGGCTGGCCTTGTATCCAGCCTTCCTGCTTCGATTCTATACGAACCCTAAGGCCACCTTGCCCTGGCGGAATAGGAGTAATTTAACCACGAGAATCTCATTTTTATCCACCATCCTTTAATTCTTGCCCCACAAATATCCAAATTTTGAAACCTTACCTCTCTTGCATGCCTTTACGTTTAAATTATTCCTTTTATGGCTGGGACAATTACCATACAAGAAATAATTAATATTGGCACTTTTCAACAAGTGATTATATTTCGGGAAACCAGTTACATTTAGGCTTACGCTTAGTTAAGAAAAAGAAATTTTGAAGGGCCGCTTGTGTGTAGGCTGGTCCTCGTTTTGTCGCGACGTCGGTATCTGGACCAGATGGGTCGGACACGAAGCCCTTGAGGGTCGTCGTGGTGGCCTTTGCTGTGGAGCACACGGTGGACATCGTCGGATGCGACGATTGAGCTATCAGTAGAGAAGTGAAGTAGGACTAAGGCCAACGTGTCTGAGTTTGACTCACACCCACACCGCTGTCTGTCGCACTTTGGCGAATCGGTCGATCTACGCCTGCCAACATGATTGTAAATAATAGAATTTGGAAATTCTTTATTGGCTTGTACCTCAGTTATGAGTGTTAACAGGTGTTTTCTGGGACGCTGCACATTCGGAGTGAATGCTGACAAGGGCAAGGGAGACTGGGGTGACCGTTTCCGGCTTATCAGTCGTCGTCAGTTAACCATGCCCAGCTCCGGGTTTGGATAACCAGGCATTTCAATCCGGACTCTTTTATCGTCGGACGTTTTTAAGAACAACACTCTGCCCTCCCGATAATCGGGGATGTTCGGTATCGTGGAAAGGGACGTTCACCAACCAGGTTACGAGATATGCTCATTCACTGAGACCCTGGGACTCAATCTAGAGTCCTCGCTCTGTACATTAGCAGCATTTGGGGAGATGAGTTAATTGGCAGATTAGCTCGGCATTCTCCAGCTCTCTTACTCTTTCCCCCCTTTCATATTCTACGTAACAGTAGGCATCAGGTAAAACGGTTTACACCAAATCGAGCGGTTAGCTGCCGCGCGGGAAGCAAATGAGTAGTGTTTCCTACGTATGACTTGTTGTAACCTCTCCTATTTAGCTGCAGACAGCGTTCGACAGGAGGCACTTTCGCGAAGGAGTTCACAGGTCCCCCGCGGACCACGAGATCGGCGTATAGTGGCCTGCGGCAGCAAAGATGAAGCTGGTCGGGTTCGGTCTTCTCGTGCGATCTTGGCAACCTCAAAAACCACGCCTTCCAATCCTTCTACTCCAACAACGCGGGCGAACGTGGGCCGTTACGGACACAATTACGACGAGGTAGACGTCCTACTCTACAACCTCTGTCTCAACATCGAGAGTGCGCTCTGAATTGTCAGAACTTCGTCCCAGCGCCTTTGCGTTACAACAACCACGATCCCCCTCGTTTCCCAAAAGTACCACCAGACCTCAATATTCGAATCCCCGTCAATGAATCGTATCTGCATTGCCCAGTCTCACACGGGGAGCCTGGCTCACTCGGCGCTTTCTCAAAGATTAATATTCTCCCCCCCCTCCCCCTAATTTAAATTCGTCAGCATTTGGAATCGTGTAGTCTGCTGAAAGTTTTAGTCTTTTTAATCAGCTTAGGACAAACAGCTTAACCCACAGTTTTATACCTCTTTCACATGCATATCTCCTCAGAGGGAAGTCAATCCCTTTTCACCGGCAGATGTAATTCCCTCCTCCCAGCTAGTTTTTCGATACGTCTTCCGGCGACCCAGAGTCAATGAGGCAGATCGGTGTATTACAAGGCCAAGACCTTTCGATACCCTCCATTTTCCTCTACCAATATGCTCCTAGTATCCTAGCAACCAAATTACTTGAAGCAATCATATTTTGTAATCATTTGCGTTTGTCTCAATCTACATATCCGTTCCGCAAACCCTACCACCCTCTCGGACTGCAGAGATGGATGTTTCTGGACAAATCTCTTGAGCTATTTTTGTTCATTACTTTAATCATGCGCTATTTTCATCCAGAATCGAGATGACATATGACGTGCTCTAGCCAGTTGTGGCCATTCTCGCTGAAGTCTGATCGATCTTCCGCGGTGGCAGGTCATTCAACTGATCCAACGACTTTCAGTACTATAAACTTCCCATGGAAAATTAAATTTCAAGAAATTACTCTACATGTCTGTGATAGTAGGATTTATTAATAATCTCCTTGTTTATGGAAATTGACTTTTAAAAAGCGGCGTTTCCTTGTTGTGAGGGCAATGCCATAAACTCAGTTGACGCTTTGACCGCCGATGTCCACAGTGTGCCCACACAGAATTACAAGCGAAGGGAGGATGGCTAGCGCGTCGTGAACTGCATTGGTAGTTGGCTTGCGTTGCATCCAACACACTCTCTGCATAATCCACCTGGGCCCGCTGTCATGACCAAGTCCAAAATATCGGGAGCAGAACCGGGCGCAGGTGGCTGGCGCGACGCGGGCACGCGCCCAGGCGTGCCAGCTTCCCCCGCCCTAATGTGCCAGCTCTTATAGCTGAGCATCCACAATAACGACTGGCGTGCCTTGATCTAGCCCCGTGTTGGTTCAGCCCGCTGCAGGGACACGCCATGGACTCACATGGACGCGTATGCTCACACCCCGATGACAATGAAATGCGAGTCGTAATTCGACTCTCGAAGCCTGACAGGTCAGATCTTAGTATGCAGTCGTTCATGAAGCGACCTACTCCCAACTGCCTGTACTACGGGAATGGTGGTAAAGGCGATTTTACGGGTGAGACAATCGGACAGGTCAGTGAGATAGCTGTGAAGAAAATGAGCAAATGAAGTGTGCAATAAGACTTCGAATAAGCTGAAACTGAAGCCCTAATGATGAAAATACGTTAGCGGTCCAGCCAGCCAACCGAAAGTGACAGCGTTGTCAACGTCATTCGGCGTGGTGTGGAGCGGCACATAGTGAAAATTATACTGCTGAACTACTGATTTGTTTTCGGTAGGCGAGATTATGCTAAAATACTACACCTGCATATTGCTGAAACGGAAAAGGGCAGTTTTGTGCTCGAGTTTAGAGGCATGGTTAGTCTTAGGGTTTGGGTTACTGTGAGGGTTAGAGTAAGGACTAGGGTTGCTCTCACTCTAACACAAACAGTAACTGTAGCCCTAACACTAACCATAACCCCTAACCCTTAACCTAGTCTCAACCCCTAACGCTAACCCCTTACCCTACCCTAATCCCTAAAACTAACCCCCAAATCAGACAACCCGAAGTTAGGAGGGAACGACAAACTCCAAGTCAAATTAATTACGCCTGCTCGGAACAAATCAATAGTTCAACGATATTATGTTCCGAATGCGTGGCTGCATAATCAGATCTTACCGCCTGACATATACCACCGTGCAGGGGATGCATGTGGGGTGATTTGTTAGTCCAGTTCCACGCGGACTCGAACGGACGGCCAACGCCTGGTCGATTCGAGGAGGGGGCTGCAAATATAACCCCCGCGGGCAGAACTAAAAAAACCATCCGTCAAGCCAAGAGGTGCACTGCTATCTACTGGTGGACGCCGGTCTGATTTTTACGATCGCATGGATCAACATCTTGGATTACTGCAAATCCTGGAGGTGGGGGTAGGGGCTCAGAGACGTCGAAACTAAATGGTGGAAACTGCGAGACACCATCTGAGCAAGCACCTTGAAGGTCCTCAGACGCACATGCCCTCAGCGCCGAGATTGCTGTGAGGTGAGGAACGCTCTGACCGATTCGTGTATCTGGGGCGTACAATCCCATGAAACATCAGGCTGGACGACCAAATTGCCAGTCGAAGTTCTGGAAGACTGTGGCACTTGGTCTACAATTGTGGCGGCATGCCCTTCAATTGGAAACGGAGGATCAAAGTGCTGCCGTCTTCAGTCAGTATATTTGGAGTAAAGGACAGAAGCCCTGAAAACTCCATTTAGACTGTACAGATGTAAGGGAAAATAGGTAAATTGCAAAACTTTTACAAGAAGTTTTAGTGAGCAGAATGCATAAATATACTAGTGGTACATAAATGCGAAAAGGGTATAGCATTTGCGAAATAATTGCGAAAGACATTGCTCCCCGCATTCGGACTGTGAAAATTTGCATACGAGTCAAGTTTAACACACAAAGAGGACCCACTGAAGCTATGTTAGTAGCATATTTATCCTAATTTGTTTCGACTGCAAGTGCGGTCAGGTTCGGGGACGACGAAAACGCCTTGCTCAAGAGCAGTTCGACAGGATGAAGGAGTAATGTGTGAGTGCGCGAGAATCAGAGAACCTCGTCATTAGTGGCAAGGAGGGTGGGGGGGGGGAGGAGGTAAAGTTGCATCTTACACAGAGCATGTGGAATTCACACACCAAACCAGCGCACTATGCGGGACACGACACAAAAGTGAAAATGAGATCACCGGGAACTCAATTTTGTCAAGAAACGGAAGAGGGACCTTCGTTAGTTCTGAGGCGGTGCTGAACGCATTTATGGGCCCAGCGTCGACGCCGGACCAGAGCCAATTAAAACAGATATCAAAGGCGCTAGCAGCAACATCGATGATGGCGATACAGACCTTGCAGTGCGAGCTGGAATATCCTTTGCATCAGGGGGCCTAATATGAGAACTCTGGCTATAAATGCGCAAAGCTTCTGTGTCCACGTGGGTAATTTTAGAAAACATATGTTGTGACCGTTACTCAACAGCACCTTCGTAAACGCACGTTTTCCCTTAGACTCGCCCTTCAAAATCGAAGATTTTTCCCCACCGGGCGGCCGCTCTCAAATCGCTCACGCGATAACAGTTTTGAACACAGTTTAAGGGACTGCACAGTAGGTGTGCTAACTCATGAAATGTCAACCGAAATTTTGAAATGCGTTTTCGTTTCGAGAAGTTTAATTAAGTGAGGTTGTAAAACTAGTCATCTTGCAGCATAATTCTATAATAATTCAGCTACCTCAGGATGCCGGCTTTCGAATGAACTCGTTTCCGGCCGCATGCAAAAACCATACCCCGTGAAAAATGACTACTTAATTAGCATGCAATTTTCTCATTGATTTTCGATCTTCTTAAAAATAAATCATGTCATGGAGGACATGCATAAAAATATTCATTCCTTTGCTCGTTCGGTAGACAATTACGTCTTCTTCCAAGTGTATACTCGAAGGGAGGGTATAATTCGGTTTTCAAAAACTTTTCCGATTCCCGAATAATTTTGAACCCGACCTGCCGTTACACTTGCATTCAGGATTTCCAAACCACAAGACGGGTATTTTCCACGTACAGAAAACCATAAATTTCTCCACGGCATTAGGAGGAGACAATATGGGGTTCATAAAATTTAGCAGTGGATTTGAGCCACATTGTTAGCTTTCCAAGCCACATTAGTGACTGCAGAGACATGAGGTTTTAGGAACGGTCATTTCATGGTATTAAAAAATCTCACAATTAGACGTAATTTTCTGCCGAATGAGAAAAAAAATGAATATTTTTATACATCCTTCCCATGAAATATGATTGAATTTTTAGAGGCATCGAAAATCCATGAGAAATGCATGCTACTTAAGTAGTCATTTTTCAAGGAGTACGGTTTTTGCATGCGGCCGAATAGGCGTTCCCTCAAAAGCTGGCATCCTGGGGTAACTGAATTATTGTAGAATCATGCTGCATGATGACTAGTTTTACAACCCCATGTAATTAATCTTTTCGAGACGAAAACGCACTTCAGGAGTTCAGTTGACATTTCATGAGTTAGCCCACCTACTGTATCTGCAGAAGACCCAGTGGGTTCGTATTTTTTCCAAAGTTCGCAACGCCAACAGCTAGGGGTTTTATGAAACTGAGTGGGCTCAGTGCATTCCGTCGCCTCCCACGAGGACTTCGGCCGTGGGGTCGGCACAACCGACAGACGCGGTGTGCATCGTCTGCAGCATGTATACTGCACCGCCCACCTTCGCCTGCAACCAGCAGAGGCGTGGATCAACAGCACCACAGATCATGGTCTCCTTTTTGCATCCGACGACTAGACGGAGGCAGACTACGGAAGGTGGGCCTGCAGTTTGGCGCCTGCGAAGCGTTGCCGATCGGCGGTGGAGGTACTGGGGCGCGCGGCATTCCACCATAACTGATATGGCAAACCGGGACCTTGTGAAGAACGTCGAAAAAAACGTTCTCGGCGACTGTAAGTAAACCACAAATGAATTCGAACTCCCAACATCTGTATATATCCATACCTAGCTTACACAGGCAGAATTTTCTAAGCAAGACTGGGTAATGTCTTTAGATCAAGTGCATATTGTGAAGACAGTGTATAATTCTTCACACTACTGTGTCTATCCTAATTTTTATGAGTTTACTTCCCTGCATGGAGTCCACAGTAGTTCCGCGTAGGAAGCACTGTCATTATCTCTAAGGACGACCTTCCTATTTCTTTGAAGTCTTTTGACTTTCGATGGGTTGGCATCGGACAGTTTTCAAGTGCAGCAAGCTCTGCATAGTAAAACTCTCGGAAGTACACTAATCTCATCTCCAAGACGAACACGCTCAGATTCGCAACTGCAGTCTAGGACAAGTATTAGCGTAGGAAATTGCCCGAATATACCACAACGTGCATTTTCGATCCAATTTATGAACATTTTGCCCGATGAAATTGTTTGGACACATTTTCTGCACAAGGACATTCCCTTGAAGAGGCTGGACAAGCGAACAAGATGCGCAACGTTTAAGGCGTCTGGAAATTCTCATATAAGTTTCCGTCATCAGGCGTCATGAGTTAGGTCACCTACTGCATGCATTTTGTAGACATGATCACATATTCGTAGACACTGGAAAGTGCTCAACTTCCGATAAAAGTGCTTGAAGCGCGAAAATCACAAGACTTCAGTTACTCCACTGATTCCTACTCTTAAAAACGTTTGTTGAGTACGAGTATATGGGCCCCCTCATATTACAGGTGGCCTACTTCCAAATTCCAGAAAGTTCGAGTTAGAGATAGTGCTACGGTTAGGGTTAGTTTAATGGTTCTAGCTAAAGTGTGAGCATGGGAATAGGAACGCCCCTGAAATTTAGCGGGAGGCCACACGTGGCACTTGGGGGGTCAACATTCGCGTGTCTGACCCACACTTTGCTGCAAAAATGCTTTTCCGCAAGTGAACACAGTAAATGAAGCCCTCCAGTGTTCTCATAGAAAATAACTTGATAAGGATGGGTTGTGTAGCCCCACTGGGTTTAGCATGTTTAGGTAACTACTATATTTGTTTTAGGTCTTGTTTTGTTTATTAATCCATAGCTACATGTGTTTTATCAAACACTTTGATATAACCATACGCACCGAGTTGTTTCAGTATGACTCTCTTAGTGATAAATTGTTTGGCATGATGTTCTCGCTCGCCCTCTACGTAATCTCTTTGTCTTATTTTGAATTTTTAGCTACCGCACTGCACTTACGTTGCCTTTCTTTGTCGATTCCGTATGCCGTGACTTACTTATTTCTTCCGAAAGGGTAGTTAGACTTTTTTGTGCCATGCCGAGACTCACTTCATTGTGCGTGCTGCAAGGACCACCGACTGCGTTTTGGCTAAATTTGCCTCTGTTAGAGCACAAACGCCCTGTCTTCTCGATATCTCTGAACGGTTCCTGTTGCCGAACGCGTACGCCTGACTTATTTATTTCTTTAAGAATACTTGTCTCAAGTCTCCCCCATAAACAATAATAAGACAGCCGAATTTATTTGAGGTGGGGTTACACAACCTACCGTTACCAATAACTTGTTTTTGGGTAACTCATGAGGGGATATAAGTATGCGTACGCAGTCAAGTGATAGTTTCCTAGGTAGCTGGGAACAGCCCGTCACTCTGAATAAGTTAATGCAAGGTCAATTATCATCCTTTGAGCATTACGCTCAGGCGTAAAGTTTGGCTTGGAATCATCATTCGGGAGCTTGGCAAATTCTTAATAAGCTTTAACACATGCTGTGCATACCAGCGGCCAAAGAGTTGGGCTACATTGAAGAGTGCTCATCAGATAAACCCCCAACTAGCAGGTTGTGTGAAATCTACGAAGACATGGTGCTGGCGAACTCTCTACCCAACCCCAAAAAATTGAGAGCCATGGGCAAACAGCATCTGAAATTTACTAAGTAAGACTCGCCTGTGGCGCTTTCGTAATTCGAAGGACTTTTTGGGGCGGTAATATGGCTGGCTAGAAGGCTGCCCATCTATATTCGGAGCAGACACGTTTGGTTGGCGAAGCATGAACAGCCACTGGTAGATTGGATGCGGGTATGATATGCAACCCCCTGTGTGTATGTTTTAAAAACGTTTAAGACGCCTCGAAATTCTCATATCAGTTTCTGTCATCAGGTGTCATGAGATAGGTCATGTACTGCACGTACTTCGAGAGGGTCAGGGCAGAACATTTGCCAAAACTATCCAATTAAATCGTCTCTAAAGAAGCCCAGCAGGACACAAGAACTGACAGCGTAAAAAGGGTGCATTACAGCAAGAACGGTAATTTTGTACAAAAGTAGCGGCAGAATCAGCGTCTGGCCCGGTCCCGGGACCGACTTCGGCTGCGTGACCGCGCTCTACGGTGTCGGCGACTGCTTCCACCAGTTTCTTTCCGTGGGTTAGCGCCACCCTTGACAAAAGCCCAGTCCACCTGGATAGCCTGGCCATTGAGCTCACTGCCATTCAAGTTCGTCAGCGCTGCGTGTGCCTCTTTGAAGGTCTCATACTCCACCAAGGCATAGCCCTAATAAACGGTGGTGAGGTAAGGAAGGGTCGGATGCTCAATCGCCTACCTTCAGGTAACCTGTTCTTCGGTCGAGGTTCAGGTGAACATTCTTAATGTCGCCGTACTCACAGAACTTATCCCTAATGTCGTCCTCAGTGGCCTCCTCGTGCACATTGCGTAAAAACACGATCCAGCCCTCTATGGCTAAAGAAACAGCACTCAGGAAATGTGAAACGGCCTACAGCGTTGTGGGCCATTTGCGGCCTCGTTGTCGTCCTGTTGGATGGACTCAAATTCGTCGTCTTGCTGTGACCTTGGGACGGTATCTGACAGAGCGGAGTGAAACAGAGGAAAAGTCAATCACCTGCCGTGAAGCCTCGACCCTTTCTTTTTGTTGCCTTCTCCTTCAGTTTCAATAGACCATCTACAAGGGTAAGGGAATAAGTGTTAGGATTGTGAGGACAAGGCGTGGGAAGGCACTGTGTGCGTGTGCGTGCATAAACGAACCGCCAATCGGTAAACAGGCACCAAGGGGGGGGGTATAAAGGCGGAGGGTGCAGCGGCGTGGCCTCCTACGAAGGGGCACGCGGTAAATGTGTTGGACCAACGCGGGGCAAAATCAAAGCACGCCAGGCACTATTGGGGATGCTCACCTATAACAAATGCCACACATGGGGAGAGGGGCGTTGGCACACCTAGGTGCAGGCTCGCACCGCGCCAGTCACCTGCCCCCCCCGATTTCGCCCCTGGTCTTTTTGCCTTTGCCTGGACACCAGGCCTAGCTGGGTGAGAGTGCCGTAGATGCCGTGTGAATCTACTATCCCTAAACTAACTCGCGCGAAATCATCGCCCCTGCGTTCGCAGTGTTGCGGGGCACAAAGTGGACATCGTCGGAGCTGACGGTCAAACTACTTTGCGCATCAGCGAACCGCCAATCAGAAGACAGACACCAAAGGAGGGAATTAAGTCGGCAGACGCAGCGACGGCAATGAAACATACAACTGTTTGCCAAGAGGACACCGAGAAGGGGAGTAGTCACAGACTAAGTTGCTGATTAACTCACGGATGAAAAATCCAACAGTGAATTAATGTGAGGCGAAAAAACCCCAGCAACCTGCCTGCGAGGATAGACAGCAACAGACAGGAAGCCTTGTGGTGAATATTCCACCCACGGGGAAGCAAGATGCCTTCGCATACAATAGCATGAACTGAGCAGTTCTCTGAAGCCGTGGTGCACAAACAGGGGAAAACAATTCGGCCACAACTAAGCTGCACCTCAAGGAAGTGGCAGGCAAATTGTGGAAGCCTAACACCTACTGCTAACGTGGGCTCTGACACGCAAGCACGAGCCGACGTGCGTATAACATAAATGTAAGCCAACTAGCATTTGGACTCTTCAATTGCTACGTATACCTGTCATGAGGAGCGCGAATATTCCGACGAAGGCAACTGTGACCGCAGGTGATAAACTACACGACGTCTTCCCCGGCTGGCGTCTGTCGCACCATGTCATGAACGAGGATGAAACGGGAATTCATGTTTCAGACACCAAATTAAGAAGTCCAATCTCCGAAGCGGTGAGTGCTTGTAACGTTTCAGACAACTGAGAAACTCGAAAAAAACAGCCTGTCAATACGATCAACAAGAATCACGGGGGCAAATTTAGACGGAAGTTGGGGGAGTAGAAGGAATTGATATGATTGCGGTCGTGACAGATTAGGCGACATCAATAACATCCGAAGGATGTGTTTCTGTGAGTGGTGCCTTGCGGTGTCGCGTCTTGAGAATGCGACACATATTCTCCTCCAAAGGGGTAAAAAACTCACTCGACGTCCTGACAAAACAAGTAAGGGGGATGAGGTTAAAGGGCGATGAAAATATTAAAAATACCCTAACTATCGCCAGGAAATCCACAGTGTTGTCGCAGAGAGCAAACTCCTGCATCTAAAACGAAGTTAGTATATGTAACCCAAAGGACCGTTTCCAGACAACGGTGGCCGGGAGCCCTTACTCTCGCTCATTCAAAACACATGACAGTTTGACCGTTAATCCACCGTGTGCCCCGCAGCATGAAGAGCGCAGGGACAGTGAACTGCGCGTGAACTAAAGTGATAGCGAACTTTCAATGCACCTACCGCGCTCTCTCCTCCCTCCCTCACCCACCTAGGCCCGTTGTCATGACAAAGTCAAGATGACCCGAGGCGGGATCGGGTGCAGGCGCGGCGTAAGTTCGCTGTAGTAGCACACCTGCACTCCAGACAAGACTTAATTCGGCTGATGACCAACTGACAGTTCAGCCGTCACAAGCGACAATGTCAACTAGTATTTACGACGTGGGCAGTCGTATGCGTACACTTAACAGCACTTGCGACTTCTCTTGCGGCCGCTGATTGTTTCCCCATCACCGATGGGCTTCCTAACGCCTAGCACTTAAATCCGGAAAAGTAGTCCGCATATTCTACCTGCTACTAATATGATCTCACTGATTATAACTCATACCCTCGACTAGGTTTCCCAGACTTTCAAGTTCGAAGCTGGATACTGCAGTAAACGATATGGCAGAACCGTTGAACGTGGATTCAGACCAGCGAGAAGGGCGCAGATGGATGCTCTCACATGTCCTCCACTTGCTCCTAGAATGGCCAGTCGGAGTGGCCACTCGCAAGTGATGAGGTTTAACCCCGGTTAACGTGATCAGCACAGTCGTGACCCGCGCGCTAATTTTCTCATAATGAAGCACATGCGCTGGATATACCTCGCTCTCCCCCCTTAACATACCCATCGCCTTTTGATGGCAAGACAAAGTCGAGATGGCCGGAGGTGGGTGAGGGCACAATGAACGACAGCCAAACAGCCCGCCTAGGCGTAGCCCCCAACTGCCAGCGTATCCGGCCTCATAGGCGAGTGCCATAAAAGCCACATTACGGTAGAGTCCCTGTTTTATGAACCTGAGTTCTGTGAAAGACTGAATAACCCCATAATTTGGTAACCCTTTAAGCCACTACTGCAGCGTGCCGTCCTGGGGTTAAGCGCGTCAGATACCTTTGTAATGAAAAGCGCACTGATTTGCCATGATGAAGGATGCCTCAAGATCGGCCTCACTCCATATTCCCTCCTCAATGCACCAGCGCTCCGTCTAAATCAGTCGACTGGGGGTGGAACTGAACGCAGCGGTTTACGTGGCGTTAAGGTCCGGGTCAGCACGTGCCACACACGACTTGTTCCTTCAGCGCACACTGCTGGATTTCGCAAACATGTAGAAAAGAAACGTAAACGTGGTCACATTCGTTTGTCGGCCAAAACGGTGCTATTGCATGGGCGATGAATGCTGTTTTTGCCAGCTGCTGCCGTGTATGCGTGCGTGGACTAGACTCACGCACAGCCTATGTGTGTAATGTAGTGGTGCACAGTAAATGTGGGTTGTGCACATGAATAAGGTCGAGTAGGTCCACGCAATGTCTGAATGAACTGAGACAGTGTGGACAGAAAAGACGTGCGTGACGGGAGTTATCCGGGACTTCGGAACTAGTTTTACAATCACGCTACGATGAGTTCGCAGATGACCAACCAGGCCCATGTGTAATTGGGTTGTGGGGCCACAATGAGGACAAGTTAGGGCTGCCACAGCATCGCCGGTGGGGCTGGGTGTACTTTCTGTCCTGGTGGTGTTTCTGTTTCGGTGGGTGCAAATATGTACAATCGAGGGAAACCGGGACTGGAACGTGGCACACCGTGAGGATGGGTAGGAGTGCTTTCGGTAGTGATGACTGTAGTTGTGTCATGTAATGCGGTGAGTGGGTTACTCGTAGGCAAATTGTCATGGATCTAACTTACTCACGTACCTGTACTTGTAAGTAAGTAGTAAGTGAGCTAACTTTGACGAGATAACCAACTGTTTGCATGTGCTGCGGTCTGCTGCGTCATCCAACGACGGCCAGTGTAACAAATAAACCTCCTCCCCACAGATTCTCAAGTATATTCAGGATTTAGTAGCCAACCGATTTTCGTTTAAAGCGGCTATCACCACCATTGGGAAAATTTGGGATACTGTCCATGTCAGAAGTAAAAAAGAGGTTTGTTCGCCTTCGATATCCCACAGTCGTACGGATTTCTCTTCAGCGCAGTAAAGACAGGGTATTCTCACTCGCATGCTACTTAAAGTCCATGTCTGGTTCGGGTCCCATGGTGTCGCACTTGTCTGCGCCAACGGAAACAGTGAAACAATTTGATAAGCTCGAAGAGTCCTTTGCACACAAGCTTTATCAGGAAATGACGCTGCCTATTGTTCCTAAGAAACGTCCTTAGGTGTAGGCCCTCTGCTTCGGTGGGTAAGCCACTACCGGTATACTTATAAACGAATGGTCCAGATCGTAATGACCAGAGACCGTATGTACGAATTCAACTAGAGATGGGATCCCGAAAAACGTTGTTTTTCAGATGCAACATTAACAAGGCAGTCTTAAGTTCCGACGGCACTGGGGCCTCAGATATTTTACCGAAATTACGATTCCAAATAGATACTTGCGTAACCCTTACTGTGCGTCCACACTTGCGCACTGAAGTTGATAAACTGGCATGTTAATACCATCCGTCTTATGCACTGGTTTCATTCCACAACGTTTAATATTTTTTTGCCGAAATACTGTATGTAAGTGGTTTACTATTATGTTTGATGGAGATGTGGTATCGGCGCTGCCGGTGGAGCATACCAGTTCAGAAACATAGGTACGAGTCCTTAGACAGGGTTGGTTAAATGTGACTGGAAGTAATCAACTCCATTTGCAAATTTTCCAGATCGGCAAAAATGTGGCAAATTAATCCGCTTTGAGCTGGCGTCTTAGTGGAAAAACTAAGCCAGTCGTTCGCTGGCCTACTCGTCCAGGGATGGTAGCTCTGTGCTGCCTACTTGCCCATATTGTGCTGTTATAGAATCAGGTTTGGGTGGGCGAAAACGTTAAAAAAATCGAAAGAAAGCACAAAATGCAAGTCTCAAGTTGCTGTCCAAACGAACATTTCAAAAGAATATAAACAGGAGCAAATAGTTCTATGAGCAGAAGTACTATTAGTTTTGAGAGGATAATCCGATTTTTGCAAAGCACGAAAGTGGAGTCACCTTCCAGGAACGATAATGCAGGTCTGGCTTCAAACACACAACAAAGCAGGCGGTTTCGAACGGCAGTCGCATGCACAGTGGGAGGTATCCAGAGGTTGGGGTTCGAGTCAAGACTTTCCTGCGACAATATTTGGTGAGTCTTTGGCTAGTTTTGTGATTGGTTAGCACTTGTCAGTGTCTGTCAGGCACGGTCTACACATCAGTCCGTTCTCACGAGTGGCACCAAGGGCCTCAGTGACAAACACACACATCGACTGTGTGCTGCGCCTGAAATCGATCGAGTTGGGCGACACTGCGTCCGGGCCTATCAGGCGCACCCCTCTTTGCATACCGAGACAAACGCGAAGTACACACAGACGCACACACGTCGATTTTACGCCGCGTGTTCAGAACGATCGAACGTGTATTTAGTAGGGAGGACGAGACACGCGAAGTGGGCAGTGTAGTGCCTAAGGCCTCCACAGCGACGAATGTCTCACCCAATCAGATAACTAGCCACAAACCCGACGAAGAAATAGGAGTTTTCAGTACGCCGTCACACAGCTTCTAGCACGATGTCGCCGGGTGGTTTCTTTGGTCTTTTAAACATCGTATAGTTCAACACCTGTGTTAGGAGCCGCCAACTTTAGGGTATTTAATCAGGTTCCTTAATAAAATACCGTTTCGTTGATAGTAGTCGCCCCCGCCCAGAGCAAGTAGGAATGTCAGGGACACCTCCAACCGAAAGTTTGAACTGTAGTCCGGTAGAAGAACAATAAATCCGAGGATTCGAATAAAGTAGTAGACTGTTGGTGCAGAGAGAAAAATCACGGCATCTCTTAGACTTTAGGAAAGGCAAGGTATAAACGAGACTCCCGCACGAGACGCTCATTAAAAGTTAGCGCTAAATCTGGCAGATATAGGTCAAAATTATTACAGAAGAAATAAAGGAAATTCAAGGAATAACAAGCAAGAAAAAAGCGTAATAAACTCACGATCGCCTTCAGTATCTTCTTCAAAATCATTCTCCCCGTGGAGCTCAAGAACATCAGCCATTTTTGAGGCAAAGTCGCTACCAGACCAACTCTGGCGCGCTTCAAGTTGTTCAAGTGTCCAGGTTTTCTGTAGTAAAATTAGGCAACTCCTTAAAGCAACCAAGAAACGCACATTTTAACTTGAATTTCCGAAGGCAGTAGGCGCGAGAGTTTACGGGTATTGTGGCATTTTAAAATGTCTGATCGCATGTAAAAAACAAGCAAGACAGAAGCCACCTACCCTCCTCACCCAAGGGGAACGAGGAGAAGCAAAGGTGCATAGGACAAACAAGAACAGTTCAAAGAAATAAAAAAAACATAAAACTGATAAAAAACGATAAGGCTTAAAATGACAGGTAAACTTGATTAAGGCACTGAGCAAACTTACAAAGGACAGACCATGTACGAAATCAATCGAATTATTAATGCAAAAAGAGCCAACATTTCAGTGGGGAACAATTGTCGGGAAAATGGCTTTCACAGTCCTTATATAAAAACCAGATGCACACCGACTTGCAGAAATCCACATACAAGGCATGAGACTGGGGTGTGTTACTGGCGGCGAACAGCTGGACACCTCTAGAAGCATTGTCTAAATAGGGTCTCTTCGCTAACATGTCTAGGCCTTTACTGGAAGTAAAATGCTTTCTATATACCGCATAGTTCGATGCAGCGTCGCCTTGCGAATTGGTAGACATTTTGCAAAGTGTTGCAATGTTAGATTTTCGTATCTTTTTTCCTGCCGGGACAGGATTTTTATTGCTTGTATAACAATCGAGTTGATAAATTGCTCTTTCGAAAAACGTACACCTCGCCATCTAACTTCAGCATACGTTTCCTGTCCAGGTTCAAGCAAATTTACTTTTGTTAATCACCTTCCTTATCTACTGTTTTTCACTACTCATATTTGATTTTTTTTTTCGTAAGTCACTGCGTCCTGTTCTTTCGAAGCTCATTTTTCTCTGACAACATTCAACCACCAATCCACGACACGCATTTTTAAAATTTTCCCAGCAACAGCTGATGCTTACTTTTATAAAACATCAAGTTACGACCTGAGTAGTTGGTCTTGGAGATCCACAGCTCAGCAGACAAACATTTCGCAGATTTCTTCTGCCTTTCCAGGACATAACAGCATTGATATCACAATCAGATGTGTATGAGCACTCTAACCTGGTGGAGGACCCACTATCTTGAAGTTGGGGACACGATCGCCGGGACAAGAGCTTTATTAGTCTGACGTTTCATTCATTCGGGATCGTTGCACTTGGTGTGCTAATTGTTTGATGGCCGACATTCGCGTCCTTACTTGCTGCAATTTCATCACTTGCGTTGGATGTTGGTGTGAGCATTGCTCGACCATCTAACGCACCGATCCTGGTGTTGAGAAAAGTGTTCACCTGTGCGCTTCCCGCGTGGCTAATTACTCCGCCTAGACGAAATCTCAGAACCGAGTACGGAAGGGAAAATGCATTGCACTTGTTACTGGACTGAGGGTCAGTAAACCATGATTCAAGTAGCTCCCGGCTCACGCGGTCGTCACCTAGTACATTAACAATTGCAATGAACTTCCCCCTACGAACTGGGTTCTGAGACTTCGTCTAGGCGGAGTAATTAGCCACGCGGGAAGCGCACAGGTGAACACTTTTCTCAACACCAGGATCGGTGCGTTAGATGGTCGAGCAATGCTCACACCAACATTCAACGCAAGTGATGAAATTGCAGCAAGTAAGGACGCGAATGTCGGCCATCAAACAATTAGCACACCAAGTGCAACGATCCCGACTGAAGGGGGAGCCGTGAATGTTCATAGGTATGCGGTAGAATGGCGACTGCACCCTATAAATACTGCAGCCCCTTGAGCGTGAATCAACCGTATCTGCTGTTGTCTCTGATGACGGATTCGAGCAGGAATCCGAAACGTCAGACTAATAAAGCTCTTGTCCCGGCGACCGTGTCTCCTTATTCAAGACTACTTTCTGGGACTGGTCTCTTCGCTTCTATTGACCGACTATTTTATCATCCATCTACTGGTCTGTTTTTGTAGATATAAGATACCGATGGTTTAACTATTTTTCACCTGGCGTTCTTGCTGGATAACACACAGGCTACAAAAGGAATTCATTTATCGTATCACTATCTGGCGCCCATCTGGGTTTAATCGGTGTAGAACCCGATGGTTCCAAACCAATATGCAGAGAAGACAGAGTAGGTACGACGTCGTTTATTTGGGCACGGTAACGCCCAAAACTCGGCAGTCAGTAAAGAGCAAGTGTGCTCACAAGCAGTTTGTCGGCTGCTTAGGTTGTTGACTTCGGCGAGAAGTGTGGAATTGAAAACTGTTTTGTGCGGCTGCGCCCAATCCAGTTCAGTGCTCCTGAGGGGAGCAGGCCTACCCCTTCGAACACCCTATTTGTCTCATACAAAATGGAAAAATCAAGTTCAAGTCAGTTTATTATGGGAATGGAGCTTTCACCCTGAGCTCCCTATTCATATCGTAAACAGAAATAGAATCAACAATTACAATGTGAGAAAGTAACAGTGTCAAATGGAAGCGTACTTAGCTTGACGTAATTACATCCATTCTTAAGGTTATGTAGTCATGTAGTTCGCTTGTTACCGCAGCATGTGTCTGCCATGGCAATCTCTTGATGTCTCTGCAGACTGAATCTTGACAGTTGCCTCTGGCCGGTTGTTTTACCATTTGACCACGTCATTTGAGAAATCGTTTCTCCCCTAATTTTTCTTGGTAACATGTAGTTTGAAGTGACGTCCCTGGGATTTGGGTTGTAATGACGAGTCCGAAGGGGCTACCAAATGCGAGGGCCCAGCTCAAACCACGAAATATGCGGCAAGTATGCATTAGTCGGACGCGCCGTGATACGACGAACATGAATTGATTTTTCTCCGTTCGTTTTGGGAAATGTAGACCCTGATCAATAAATGAACGTTTTCAGACTGTTTCCCTCATGGTTGTAGTGTCTACAGTTGAAGACTGTGCCTCACCCAACACCTTATTTCTTCCGGTTATTGGCCGGGCCTCTACTGTCCAAGAGACCCCTTCCGACTGATTGCAGGACGAAGAATTATATATCTCTCAAACTATTATTTTCTCTTCATTATCACCTGCTAGTTAATAAACTACCTTTCCATACTCATCTCCGCCTGAAGGCTGAATGTTTAAACAGTTGTACAACCACATATACAGAGAATCGTCGGTGGTAGCAGACGACATCAGCTACGCGAATCATGAGAGGACCGGAGATATTGTAGTCACTAGACGTGTTTCAAAATAGGTTCAAGTTTTCCACCTCCGACGAATACACCGCTATCGGGATTTCGGTCTGCTGAATGCTCTTGCAGCCTGCCATTAGTAAGAATAGGATTCGAATCAACAACATCCTCATCCTCGCAAATCCAAAACCGGATTTCAGCGGGAAAGCAGGTCTCCATCTGTCTGCTTCTCTGCCAACATCTACACAAATATCTCCAAATTTATGAACAGTTAAATTGTGCTGCTATTAGGTCCATAGGGCTGGTCAGGTTATAAAATTCGTGTCTCGCCATCATAAACGTTTCAACCTTCTGAATCAATGATGGGAGACGAAAATATTCCCTTAAGACGTTATGCGACCTGTCCGCCTCGAGGCCGTTTTGGACTCGCACCAGTGTGACGGCCACAGCAGCCACTAAAATAAGGTAGAGAATTTGCATTCGGATCACAAAACTGACTGCACTTCTGAATATTTTGTCCTCAGATCGTCTTCCGCCGAACGGTTAAATAATTCAGTAAGCCTGACGCATATCAAATACAAAGGTGAAATCCGTACGATATGCTCGAGTCTCATTGAGAGGTTTTTAAGAAGAAGAGAACAACGAAGGGCCTAAAATGCAGGTGGAGAACCTGGGAAAACTCCTTCGTCATTTGTCCAAATAGAGAAAATCAGTGACAACTGAGATTTAAATCTTAGCAAATGCGTGGTCGTATTGGACATCCTAGAGTATCCTTTCCACACCCCAAATGACTGAGAACACCACGACATAGAAATAATTCAGCAATATCTCAAACCTCCCTTAAATGGACTTGAGAAACTAACCGTACTAAATGCCTTCTGTATGGATCAGATATAAGACTATAAGGATGGATCGAGCCGACCAAGTTGGCTGAGGGTAGCTTCCAAAAGGGAAAACTATCGCATTTACTGCTGAACAGACAATCCGCACTCCCAGGCGCTCACTCAATAGTTTTCTTCTGCGACATTTTTACCCGAGAAGCGGGGGATGTGGAGGGAGCTGGAGGCGAAGCACCTTAGGAGATCCAGCCTAGGCAAAAGCGATCTCTAAATACTGAGGGGAGGAATAACGCATGTCCAGGGGTCATCTCTCAAAGGAAACCTATAATCCTAACAGCTTAAACGTGAAGAGCCCCAAATCGTCTTGATCTGCACAGGCACGCATTTGCATTCAATCAGACGAGGGAGATAGACGCTTGTTTAACATGACTGCCCCTACCAACTTGTGGTCTTTGTATACAAATACTCAAGGCCTCGGTACGAAGAGCGACGAAATCCGAGCGTTGATGTCAGAAAAAAACACAATATGGTTGTTAGGCCTGAAACGTGGTTTAGAGACGAAATCGCAGATGCACAGATTTCAACACCTGGATTCAGTTCAGTTCAGTCTATTGAGGGTAATAGACGTGAGCTTTTGAGTGTACTATTTGCAACGTGAAATTTGGCGCGATGTACGGAGAAAGCATGTGGGTTGGAAAAATTCAAAGGGTTCCATAGTTGCATGACAAATTTAGCATGAGTCTCGTATGGTGAACTCGGTCTCCAATCGTACTTGCCCATTTTGGTGCATGAATGTGTCACGGTTCCTTTTAAAGCTTTGTATCGATGATGACATTACAACATGTGTTGCAAGGGCATTTCGTGGTTTGACCACTCCGAGAGAAGAGAATTTCAGCACACCCAGCCTTGCCTGCTGAGTGGGCAGTTTTAACGGTCGTGGTAGGGGATT